TAACGGGATGAGAGATGCATATTCATGTCAAATCTTGTCATCGGGATGTGAAGCTCGTATTGAGTGTCCAACGGTATACTGGGCTGGCCGTGAATTGAACTTGTCTAGTCCATTAACAATTTACTTACGTAATATTGGATACTCAATGAGTATATATGTTTGCACAGTATACCCAAGTGCCATTTTATTAGGCAGCGGCGTCACTTACTCGTGCTTACTCTATATTCAAGCACTGGTTGGCGCCTTTTTGCTCTTACTTTCAGAACGCATCGGAAATGATGGCGTAGGAAATGGGTTTAGTAGACCTATAGACAAATAGACCCCCAAAATAAATATTTCATGTAGAAATACAGGCCCTCTTGCCAAAGAAAAATGTTACTAATTGCTTGTTTACTTCAATAATTAATTTACGAGTGAGTATTTCATTTCGAAATGATGATTGCATAATGTAGGCGTAACGTACGACCACTAACTATTAGCTTAAAGATAAACTCCAGTTCTGGTAAAAAAAAAAAGAAAATTAATTCTCACAGAATCAAACGAAACTTACACTGAATGTTCAAGATTACAAATAAATGACATGTGTCAAACAATTTTGGAAGAAAATGTATACTGGCTGAGTAATGAGCATAGAAAGATAAGAAAATCAAGATAAGTACTAGCCCTGACACGATTTGTGTAGTCCCATAATTATACATCTTTCTGTGTACAGTGTTTGTTACTTTACCAAGACTGGGCCGAATTTATTATGATTTTGATGACTCCAGAACCTTGCAGTACACACCAATACTTACATGCTACATGATCAACTGTTTCTGATCCATTCCACACCTTTTCTTTCACAATGCAATCGCATTACCAGAACTCACCTTTATCTTTAATTATGAGGAATATAGGTCACTTCACCATTAGCCTCTCATCTGCGGAAAATGTGATAACTGAAGAACCTTGAAACTTTTATACATTAAACTTTAAATGGTAATCCTTACATATTGAGTTTTAAAATGTTTTGATGGTGAAGAATAAACAAAACAAAAAATCACTGAAAATCTAATATTGATTGTCTGCTATAGCTTTCGGAAGAAATTATCTTCAGTCCCTTATTCGGCACAGGGCATCCATTCTTATATGTGTTATCGCTTCATTTTATGTATGGAATAAATACTCTAAAAAATCGGCGATATGAGCTTTATTACTTTCGGATTCACTTACCATGGACTATCGCCTCTCAAAGGTCTCATTAATACAATCATAATCAGGTTAATTTCATCAGTCTCACTCCAAATACTGAATCTATCTCTCCACCACCTTGATTTAATTATGTTTAATGACGTCACAAAATACGATGGCGTACTTGACTTGTGTGCGTAAGAGATGTGGGTGCAGTTAGTTTAGTGGGGGTGCGCGCGTGTGTATGTGTGTGAGTATGCATGAAGCTGGAGTGGTGGCATGCGCCGGTAATTAGTTGTTGCACTCTAGACGAGTTCGCTGCACTCATAGCTAATGTATCTTGTAACTCCGTAGGCTCAGGATTGGTGATTTTCACATACTGTCATGTGTCATGTGGATTGGATTGTCTGCGTAAAATGTTAATGTTTAATGAAATGATTTAATGTATGCACGTGTTTATATATAATAATCAACGATACATTACAAATTCGACACAACAGAGTGGAGGGACGCTTATAAAACATGGATAATTAAAGAGACAGTCGGACATTGTTCCACTTGGAAGAAGGAGAAATATTAAAGGGAGAGAAGAAGAGAGGGAGAAGTGGGGAATGGGAGTGATATACCTTGAAAGAAAAATACAAAGAGACCATAAGAATACTTCTTTCGAAACTAAACGTCCAGCGAGGGATGACAACTCAGCTTTCTCTTTTGGGAGGGGTTGGGGAAAGGGAAAATACAATTAAATAAAGAGATGATTAGTATCACAAAATGGAAGAATAGTTGTGAACAAAGACGAAATGAAGGAAGACGGAGGGCTGATTACCGACCTAACCTTTTTTGTGTGTGTGTTGGAGACTAAGTGAGGCCCATTTTCGAAGATAATGTAGTTTTCTATCGACAGAGATGACTTTTCGTGATAAATGAGAAAACTTAAGGATAAGTCATCCACTTGGGACGAAGTTTGTCAAAGAATGATCTTTAAGATTGCAGGTCAGCGTGTACTTTTCGAGCCATTACTTATCATTAAGGCAAAACTCCACCAAATTGAATTCCCGCGGCAGACTAATGAGACTGCTATTTTAGATCTATTTGAAGCAACAATAAAAACCCTTTAGAGAATGTCATTTTGTGACCTTAAAAGAAGATCGCTCGCGATGGGCTCAGCCCTTTGCTCATAACAATCATTTGTTTAGTGGTGTGTGTTTACGTGTATGTGTGTTGGTATTTCATTGTGTTTATGGGATGCGCTCAATCGGATTCTTGAAGTGTGTATAAATGCCCTTTCATTGTTGTGTAGGGAGATACCTTGTAACATAATAGATACCCTGCTGTCTTGGGTGGAGAGGGTGGCTGGGGCGGGGTTTAGACGAAACATGAAAAGATTCTTCTCCTTTTTTCGCCAAAGGGCGGAATGTGTTCCATCAAAGAGGTTCGAATTCTCTTGGGTATGTTGGGCGGCGGGGAGAATGAGAAACAACAATATTTACAGTATTTGGTATACTTGTTGATATTGTTGGAGTCCTTTTGGGCCATAAGACAATACAAAGTGATTAAAAAAAAAAGGAAGATCGAGTAACGAGTGGTAGACTTTTGATAGAAATAAACATGTACCTACCGGTATGTTTCAATTATATCAATGAGGCAATGAAAATATTAACGATGGATTATATCTCTCTTAAAAAGGTTTTTTTCATTTCACAATTGCAATTTAACACTCACTGACAGAAAGATACACACAATATCACAATCATATGTATTACCTGCTAATAATGCTTCATGTACCAATAATAGTCCTTTTATAAGACTTATTCGTTGTTTTAATAGGCCTATATATTAGGCCTATTAATGTCCATTGTTTATAACTTGCTATTTTGACTAAATCAAGTTTCAGAGATCTTCGGAAGATATCGAATTAGTTTTCTTTCCTATGTATTTATATAATTACATACTTAAAACATTTCCTCCTCTCTCAAGATTATGCAAGATAACACCTTTCCATTTTCAATTACTTTTTTAAATAAAAATACCACAGCAGAATTGAGTAAGTAAGTGAATTTAGGGTACCAATGGGAAAGTATAGATAGGTACTTGCATTATCCACGCCCATCAATGGCGTATCACGAGGCAAGCCATTGAGGGGGCACTTGCATCCTTACGGGGAGGGGGTCGACCTTACTCGGAAAATTAAATGTGGATTCATAAGACATCTGCTTAGGGAGAGGTTGTGGAAGAAGGCCTCTGGTTTTCTTCTCTCGTCCTTTTCCCCTCATTTCTTAACTTTTCACTATTCCATTCCAATGTTCTTTTCATGCGATTACAAAAACATTTTTATTCTTTTTAGTAATTTAGTATTTTTGTATTATCATACTTTTGGCAGGGGGACACGTGCCCCTTTAGCTACGCTGCTTTCAACATTAGCTCGAGGTAGACTAGTGATTATACATTCACGAAGGTGTCTAGATGGGGTAGGCCCAGTGACAGCATTGCACTTTGGGGAATATGAAAGGATATTGCCTTTTCGAGGATTGCGAAATGAAGAATCAAGATAGGTATTGGACGTGCAAAATTATGACCGGGAATACAGTTCAGACGGGAGGGCTGTTAGCTTCATTGCAGTGGCGGATTCAAGGGGGCACAGGGGGGGGGGGGTGTGCCCCCAGCCCCCAAAATGGTGGTGAAAGAGGAAGAGAGAATAGAAGAAACAGGGGCTGCTCACCTTCTTTTTTTGTCTTGTAAGAATTTTTTGTAGCCCGAAACGACCTTTTTTTTTCTTCACTAGTCATCAATGTGTTTGGATGTGTGCTCCCCCACCCCCACCCTTGACAGAGAATTCTGGATCCACCACGGCATAGGGTAACATTTTGTTCATTGGAAAATAATGTTTATGCCTGAGCTCTAGAGCATGAGAATAGAAGTAGATAGTTTGATGTCGTATGGAGCCCTATATGCTTCCTATGGGGCGAATTGATCGATGGTGTTACCTACAGAAGATGTGATTTTTGGAATGATGGCTAAAGCATTATAGCATAAAAATGAAATATCTTGTTGCATGAGAAACGGGAAATGTATATCAAATTACAACAGAAACAGAGGAGAAATTCGTAATGATATATACCTATACAAACACGGATAGATGCAATCAGAAAATATCATTAGGGAAAATAAAAGTTAGAATTCGGCTATTTAAAAAAAAAAACACTCTCATTTTCTAAACATATCTCAATTTTATTTTAAATTCGAGTGAATAGATTTGAATTTCAAAAATTGAATGTGCTGATTAAACACTATTATTAGAAAAAACAAAATTATGTAATATGACTTAAGTAATATAGTATAAAACGGTGAATGGCAGATGCTCCGTATATTTGTTGCTTCTTTTACATCATCTTGACTCTCCGAGTATTATTCTACTATAAATATAACGTAATGGGATTAAGAGGAGTATGACCCACTACCACCCCTCTCTTTCTCTCTCTCTCTCTCTCTCTCTCTCTTCCTCTCCTTATTTCTGTTGATTTGTGTCTATTTCTTTAACCCCCTCTCAATGAATCTTGTTACAAGCTGGGTACAATGGCCCACCCTTACCAAAAGCTACTTCAATAGAAAACGTGATAATTGTTGTTGGATGGATGGAGGCAAAATTCCCTTGAGATCTGAATGATTTTGAGAGGCATCCCCTTCAGGTCGATAGATGATATGACAATAGAAGCAGCTGTGTGTCGGTTCGGGATGGGGGGAATTAAGAAGCGCACATTGAGTGACGAATCTACTAATGCCATAGAAAACTCGAGCATGTTCATGCTTCACTGGGTTTGCGGGTGGTTTCTTTTTTGGAGCCGATCCTTTTGGCTTCAAAAGCGTTCTTTTAAACGTAAATCTGTAGACGTTATACCTGTCTTCAGTTTCGAATAACATGACTGTTATTTCTTTCCGTGTCATGTTCTCTTTGGCAGATGGTGAATTGCCGATTCGGGCTGAGCTGCAAATCCTCCAGACAACCTTCCTGATCCAGACTTGATAGCGATGTGTTGAGAAGATGGGTACATTGGTGGGGACCGAGTATCTCACCGAGACAACGGTCGCCTCATCTCCACTGTCCCCGCTGACAAGGGCCGGGCAAACCGTGACGACCGGTACACTAGCATTAACGTGGAGTTCTGATGGTCAGGGATCATCCTGTCCAGACTGCGCGAAGACCACTATCCTGTCAAGTTCAACTGAGGATTCATTGGATTACCTTTCAACAGATATAACTTTAATCCCATTCACTGGAGATGTAAATTTCTCGGATCCTTTTGGAACATCAAACTACACCTCGTCACCTGCAGTTGCCTCTGATTCCGGGGCCCATGACCTGACCAGACAACTTCTTGTTGGCATCCTTTCCATATTGTTAGCTCTGACCATTACATTTGGAAATACATTGGTTATATTGGCTGTGTATCGTGAACATCACCTCAGAACTGTAACGAATCTTTTTATCGTATCGCTAGCATGTGCGGACTTTTTGATCGGGACCGTCGTCCTGCCGTTTGCGATTCACATGGAAATAACGCAGGGATACTGGCCCTATGGTGTAGTATGGTGTGACCTTTGGCATGCATTTGATATCTTGGGATGCACAGCCTCCATTTTGAACCTATGCGTGATCGCATGTGATCGATACTGGGCAATAACGCACCCGTTTAGCTACCCGACGCGCATGACGAAAAGGATGGCGCTTATTTTGATCGGTGCGGCGTGGGTCTGTTCCGCGCTCATCTCGTTCCCGTGCATCTGGTGGTGGCACGCCGTAGAGCCGCCGCATCCACCGCTAGCCTGCATCTTTCCTTCCAACACGGTGTACCTCGTTACGTCATCTTTTGTATCCTTTTATGTTCCCTCTATCGTCATGGTGTTCATGTACCTTAAAATCTACCGCACAGCTGTTGGACAAGTACGGGCATTACGCTCAGGAACGAAGCGCGTCAAAAACGGAAACGGCATGGCGATGCGCCTCCACAAGGGGGGAATCCGAACAATCGACGGCTCACTACAGAAGCGAGTGAGTACAATCTCGAATTCGTACTCGCCCCAAACTGTCCAGGGAACCGTCAGTAGGAGAAATAGCTTACCCGGAAAGAAATTAATGTCCAGGCTGTCACACGAACATAAAGCAGCTAGAACTCTCGGCATCGTCATGGGTGTTTTCATCATCTGTTGGCTACCATTTTTCATCGTCAATGTCACCGCACCTTCTTGTCCGACATGTTACTTTCATCCCGTCGTACTCGGCATTGTCACGTGGTTAGGATATGTGAACAGTGCGTTGAACCCCATAATATACGCTTTCGCTAGCCGTCGGTTTAAGAACGCGTTTACGCGCATCCTGTGCGCGTATCCGCGGAAGCGCAAACATGGATTACACGATTGGTCGAGTACTCGGAGAAGAGGATCAACAGTCTTTAACAGTCCCACAGGGCTAATAGGTGACACGTCTATTACTCAATACAGTGAAGATAGGAATTCTGTGGATACCACCAGCAGTGCTCATTCTAATTTAAAATACTCATTACCATACGTTTATTTCTGAGAAGAAGACATTATGTACGGAATATGCCTACTTCGATAGTGTTTTATTTGTAAACTCAGACAGTACAATCAATCTACTCTATGAATATTGTGAAGAAATAAATCTTATTTATAATTAAATCATACCCATCACAATATCTAAAAAATTGTGGATTAGTGTGTGCAGGCAATATATAATTTTAGTCTAAAGAATAACAAAAATCCAATCAACCTTACTTTATTTAATAATATTCTGCTTAGATATCTTAGAGGTTGCCAATTAAACACTACTTTACCACCTGGGGGGCGTTTCATGAAACAATTAGTCGGTGGTTTTCACCGACTAATATCATGTTCACCGACAATTCTTTGTCACCGACTATTTTCCAGGCATGTGATTGGTCAAATTTAGTCAGCGCTGACAAATTGTCGGTGAACATGATATTAGTCGGTGAAAACCACCGACTAATTGTTTCATGAAACGCCCCCCTGATGTTTTAATACTGTACATCAATCATAAACTACAGCAACTTTTGACCTTTTCAACTTCCTGAAATTTGGTTTCTGAATCATCCTAATTTATTGATTTTAATACACTCTGTGTATAATATATACCTTTATTAATAATTTCTGACTTATATACTGTCATTTCCTACTTCTTCAATAATACCCTACAAGTTAAATGTAAGTACAGTGCTGTATGTTACAGATCCAATGTTACCACCAACTAAACCGTATATTTTCTTTTTCAACATACATGTCGGTAGACATGTACAGTGAATTCATAATTTTAGTTCAAACTACGCACCAATCGTAACCAGAAGCAGAATTTAAAAAGACCTATTTTGGGTTTTTTTCTTCAAATGGCAGTATGCCTTCCTTTTGGCCCGCCACTGATATTATATATCTTGTAAATTTCGCATGTGTACACTTAAATATTTCGTTTATTGCAACTGTTGAATCCGAATTTGATTTTGATGAGAGGTTCTGCTTTTATTCACTGTAAATGGTATTTCTTGAGCAGCGTCAAATACTGGAACTCTTATGATTTGGGGAGTCAAGAAGTAATTTTCCACCAAAATTCAAAACATTATATCAATGTTTTAAAATTATTGTTATTTGTTCTTTAAACATGTGTATAAACTGTTCCTGTAAAGCATTTAAATATCGTTTATTTTATATTTCATCACTGTTCATCCCGAAGGCGAAGTAAATCAGAATGTTGTAATAAAATTCGCGGATGTTGTGGCGTCTGATCCGATTGGCATGTGAAACCTTTAAAAATCTTCTTCCTTGTTTTCTTTCAATTTGCGGAGGTGTATTTACATGTGCTTCTTTACTTAAAGATGAAGTTGAGTTCTGATCATGCGATTGCATTGTGAAAGAAACGGTGTGGAATCGACCAAAAAATGTTGATCATCTAGCATATAAGAATTTGTGTGTATTGCAAGGTTCTGGAATCATCAAAATGATAAGAAATTTGGCCAAGTCTTGGTAAAGTTACAAACAATGTACACAGAAAGATGTATATGGGACTACACGAACACATGGGGTAAAAATCCTACCCGGATTTTTACGATGTTACATGACATATCTAGAATATGAAGGCATTTGAAGAGCCATGCTTTTCAGGGAACATGTCCTATTTGTTGATCTTCCACACTTGCATAATAAGAATGATAACGCTCACAAATTGTTTTTCACCTCTTCCCAGAACTCAACCTTCTCTTTAAAGGTGGCTTATCTGACAAGAATATTCATCCAGCATATCTGACAAGAATATTCATCCAGCGATTTCGTCTTGGTACACAGATTATTGCAAAATTAGACACTGAGTTTATTCTAGAAAATGACGAGAAAATGTACTCAAAGATGAAAAGCGGAATAGCTCAGTATTGCATTACTGTAATACATATTCTTGAGTCTACTGATTTGACGATAAGTTTAAGTTGAATATATAAACTACCTTATGATACAGATGTAAACACAACTCATTTGCGCAACTTTCCCCCTAAACCTCTCCACGTTTTATTGGTTATCGTCGTCAAGTCGTGTGATAGCAAACAAATATAATTCATTAATTGAGTGAAAATTTTGCTCATAATTTGTGAATGTACTGATTATTTAATTTTATTTGGTTTGGTTGATTGGTTTTTATTTTATCTTTTCAAACGTACAATACAAATGTGCATTATAGTGTGACGAAAAATTTTGATATTATCAAATAGGTAAGAGTCCATAATCCGATAATTGACATAAATATTATTAGATAATATATCTGTTATTGTAAGCGATTGTTTATTGTGGTGATAAAATGGCAAACTTTTGCGTCGTCTTAAAAACGCCGATTAAGCGTTGAATAAACAGACAACTATTACTCCAGGCAATGTTAGGCTCGAAATGATTGTCAAAGGATTAACAGATAGTTTCCAAGGAATTTTTAAGTCTCATACCTCTTTACCATGTGTATCAGAACCACGCATACCCTGAACTCAAGGCTACTATTTGTATGTAAGGTATTCAGAGCTGGTAAACAGATAACAGATAGATAGGCCATTTTCGTAATGTAGTCAAATTTAATGTACAATTCTTTGTTAAGTGCCCCGTTACAAATCATTTAAATCACCTGTTACAAATATTTTATTACAATAGTCAGAATGCGAATTGCATACATTCCATGCTGCTAGGTACCCAGGTAGGACAAATCGCATTCCGACTATTGAAATACAATTATTTGTATACAGGTGGATTAAATCATTTGTAATGAGGCACTTACCAAAGATTTGTGCATTACATTTGAATACATTACGAATATTGGTCTATTGCCTTGATTTTCTAGTGTGTTTTTTAATTCACCAATAGGGACTTTTAGATTTACACGACGAGAACGTGGACCGCCACGTGTGACATCCTTTTAAGGTAATGTGACGTCCATTTTTTCTTATGTCACACGCGGCAGTCCACGCTCTCGTCGTGTAAATCTAAAAGTCCCTAATAACAGGATCACGCAGACCCCCACCGCAAGGCTTTTATTTTAAAAATGATATTCTTTTAACAGCAGATATGGTATAATTCAATGAAATACATATTTTTTACACACCCATGTGAGGATAAGGCGAACTCTTATAATTCGTTTTCAGAATGCTTTCTTACAAAATTATTATTTAGAAATTGAGGTATTGATTCTTTAGGATAAAATCAACTACCGGTATATGTTTTCACTGAGTTTCAAAATAAACTTGAGTTCTAGCAAATAGAGAAAAAAAATTATCACAGAATCCAACAAAACATACACTAAATGTTCAAGATTACAAATAAATGACATCTACTACAGGATAAACAATCCAGAATAAATAATAGCAATTTTCTCTCAAAGTACGATTCCCATACCAGGGTTCAAGATTAGCTTCAATTTAAACATGAATAACACCTAGAATGTAGAGTTCTTAACTTGCCATTAAAATATCTTGCCGACCAAGAGGACGATTTTGACATAGCCTACACTAAACTTCTCATATAACAAGTATGAAATTCATGGTTTTATTATGATCGTAACTATTGCATTCTCTATCTATTTATATAATTTTCCAAATGATCTCTTTCCATCTCCTTTTGTATCCTTGTCTATTCATCTTTTTCTATCTTTCTGTTTTTATCTCTCTTTCCTCTCCCCCCCCTCTCTCTCTCTCTCTCTCTCTCTCTATCTCTCTATATCCAAAGGATCCTTATATATATCTTTTTTTAATACTATATTGTGTTTTTGTTTCGCTCTCTCTCTATACCCCCTTCTCTTAACTCTCTATATTTTTGTATCTCCTATATAGTCTCGTCTGTTTTTCTTTCTCTCACTCATTCTTCGCCCCCCCCTCTCTCTCTCTCTCTCGCTCACTCTCTCTCTCTCTCCCATTCTCTCTCGCTCTCTCTCTTTCTTTTTTCATCTGTCTTTCTTTCTCTCTCTGTTTCTCCGATTGTTTCTCTGTCTCTCGATATGTCCGTCATCTTGCACCTCTCTTTCTCTCCATCTTTCTGTCTCTGTTTAATAACACACGACATCCCAAAAAAAAAAACACTAGCTACAAAGACAATTCTAGAACCAAAGCGAGCCCCTCCACGCTTTCAGGTGAAGGTACTCCAATCAAGATAGAAAAACAGAGAAGGAAATCAAAAGTAGAACGTAGCACTTGCCCTGCAGCATACACCTAACATCACTGCAAACAACACCTGCGCAAGAAGAGGGTTAGATTTTAAAGGGGCTATATTCACCATTTTAAGACATCAAATTACTTGCATTTTGCTTGAGATCTTATGAAACTTGTGCTGTTGTGAAGATGTAAGCATTTGATGATGACCGTTTGACGCTTTGAAAGCGATTCTTTTAGTTTTCTGTCTTTCCTATATTGATTTCGTCGACAAATTCACTTGTCTTATTTCCATTCATTTAAAAAAAATTTTTTACTCCGGACCCGCCGTCCTCAGCATCACTTGCAAAAATATCAAATTGAAAATTACCATATTACTACAAGCTTTTGCATAGCAAGCGTCTCACTGATTTAGACAACTTTGTATTATTAGAATGACTACAACGTTTATGTACTCACTCTGAAAGGAGGATTTGCAGGGGAAAACATTGAACTAATTAATACGCTTATTTCGTCCTGTAACTTAAAAAAAAATGTACTTGTATTTGCGAGTAAAATTAGTCGATATTGTATAGTGTTTCTTGTATTGGACACGCCTTCATTTAATTTTGGTTGTACAAAACAATCTTTTCTTAGATGATTAATAAATCAATATTCTATTGTTTGATTTATTTCCATGTGGAATGGCCGAAATATTTCGAACCCTTCGATTTTGTTTCTGCCTTTAAAGAAAGGCGTTCTTTGGTTCTTGTATATTATATAACGTAGAAACCTGTGAAATTAGGATTTTAATTTTCCCTTGTAGGATGTCGAATTCTTAGGGGAGGCAAACAAAATTGGCAACTTTAAACGAGGACGTTGCATGTCAAAAAATAATCTATTTCAAAAGTGACACATGAAACGACGATGATCTTTGTTAATTCGGCCGCGAAATGGCATTGGCAGGCAAGGCTATTTTGTAGCCTGATAATTATTCCATCTAGTTACTCCGTCTTAAATAAACGCCCTCCTATAACGGCTTCTCGGTTCGTATTTAATGGAACAAACCAATTTAGCGAGTTACAATGATCGAGTCATTCGCAAAGCTTTGCGCCTCATTGCCCTCCAATGCAGACAGAAACGGTTTACAAACTTGTATGGTTTTGAAAATACGCGATGTGCCATTTTGTCGACGGGTCGAAGTCGCGCCCTATTTGCAATTATCTCATTTTACTTTGGTGTACCTTTGTAAACTCATACCTTAGGAACTTCAGAATAGC